GAGGCATTTATAATAAAATATTAATTTTATTAGTATAGCAGAGCTGTTGTCCCCCACCCATACCCCCTTAACCCTCCCATGAGATCACCGGCAGACAATTCCTATCATGCAGATGGCCTCCTGTGTTTTTCTGCTTGAGGGGCGCCTCAGGAGCAACCTTCTACCAATGAAAACAAGCTGGTGGACTAATATCCCAGGACAGTTCTGAGCTGTGTTCTACACAGTCATTCAAAAAGTCCCTGTGAGGATGAGCTCCAGTTGCCTTCGAGGTGATTCACTAATTCATGTATCAGGCTTTTTTCTCTTTCCCTTTTTCACTTCTCTCCCTTACCATGCTTTCCATGATCACCTCTCAAAAGAAGACTTACGCCCAATTCCTTTACTCAGGATCTGGGAGAATCCCAAGTTAAGAAAGTCAGATTCTAAGGATACAACAGTGAGCTTTCATTATATGTATTATATTGCATGAAAATAGTAATGTAAGCTACACAAGGACGGAGATTTTTGTCTGTTTTATTCACTGATATATCACAAACATCTAGAACAGTGCTTGAATCATAGCGTTTAATGAGTAGTAGTAATAGCTAATATTTATTGAGTGCTTAGTATGTGCTTGATATATGATTTTTTCAGAAAGCATTTAATCATCAAAAATAACTTATGATATAGCTATTATTATTATTATTATTCCCCTTTTGGATATAAAGGAATTAAGGATAAACAATGGATCCATAGCACCCATCTTTTAAATTGTGGATCCTGGTTTCTAACTAAGGTCCCTTTGATACTGGACCCCGTTCTTTTCTAATTTTTTGTTTTTGCTTTGTTTTGTTTTTGTTATATGTCTGACTCCTCCATTGGTCTTAACTTTTATGAAAGGTAGGGTCCCTATTCAACTCTGTATCCCCAACACCTAGCTTAGAAGCTGGAATAAAGTAGGAACTCAGTAATGTTTGTTGAATGAATAAAACGAATAGTGGCTTATTTATACATATCTATGTTGAGGAAGAAAGGAAAAGGATGTATTCTGGATCCAATTGGAGAAAAGCCTTGAATATAACCTGAGATATGGTCTACTTTAAGACAAGGCATTTTTAGGATTCTGCCATTTAAAACTCCCCTGAGGGGCTTCCCTGGTGGTGCGGTGGCTAAGAATCTGCCTGCCAATGCAGGGGACACGGGTTCAAACCCTGTCTGGGAAGATCCCACATGCTGCGGAGCAGCTAAGCCCGTGTGCCACAACTACCGAGCCTATGCTCTAGAGCCCACGAGCCACAACTACTGAGCCCACGTGCCACAACTACTGAGCCCGCGAGCCTAGAGCCTGTGCTCCACAACAAGAGAAGCCACCGCAATGAGAATCCCGCGCACTGCAACAAAGAATAACCCCTGCTTGCCACAACTAGAGAAAGCCCGTGCGCAGCAACGAAGACCCAACACAGACAAAAATAAAAATAAATTAAATAAATAAATTTATTTTAAAAAAAACAAAAAAACTCCCCTGAGATTTTGTTTTTCCCTTGACCGCACCCTGTGGCATGGGGAACTTTCCCAACCAGGGATGGAACCCACACCTCCTGCAGTGGAAGCTCGGAGTCTTAACCACTGGACCACCAGGGAAGCCCTAGCCTGAGATTTTTGTTTCCACCACCAATTCAACCCGGAGTCTATTTTAGCTAGCTAGTGTTTGGAGCTGACTTCCTTGTTGAATTTTCCTTCATCTAAGTATTTAACCCATATCTCTTTCTTTCATTTAGAGGTTTCCTGGCAGAGATATTTAAACCACTTCTGAACCTGAATTCCTTGTATCCAATAATCTGTAAGTCAATGAAAATGGGACTCTTTTGACCATTATTGTATTAAGTGCCTGGCATGCAGTTGGCACTCAATAAATGCTGTTAAATGAATGAATGAGGCAGAAGTAGAGAGAGGAAATTGTCTAGTTTCCAGTGATTATCCATGAACAATTAAAAAATATGTATATCTTCAACGCTTTACATAAGTTAATACTTACTGGGTTTGTGAAAAGAGCAACTTCAAATTTATTTATTATTTATTTATAAATTTAATTTATTTTTTTGGCTGCATTGGGTCTTCGTTGCTGCATGTGGGCTTTCTCTAGTTGTGGCGAGTGGGGGCTGCTCTTTGTTGCAGTGCATGGGCTTCTCATTGCAGTGGCTTCTCTTGTTGTGGAACATGGGCTCTAGGCGTGAGAGCTTCAGTAGTTGTGGCAGGTGGGCTCAGTAGTTGTGGCTTGCAGGCTCTAGAGTGCAGGCTCAGTAGTTGTGGCTCATGGGCTTAGTTGCTCTGTGGCATCTGGGAGCTTCCTGGCAGGGCTCGAACCTGTGTCCCCTGCATTGGCAGGCGGATTCTTAACCACTGCACCACCAGGGAAATCCCAACTTCAATTTTAGATAATGTGAAATTTTAGCAAAACGAATCTTAGTGCTTCAACTATGATGTGAAAATTGTACTTTTAAATTTTTCTATGACTAAAATTAATATTTATTATGAATCTATGTCAGGATGCTTTAACTGTGGGCAATAGAAAATATAACTCAAATTGACTTAAACAATAAAGAATTTATTGGCTAATGTAAGAGGACATCCAAAAGTAGGGAAGAATTCAGGGTTGGTCTATTGGTTGAATTACATCATCAAGGACCAAATTCTTTTCATCTTTCTGCTCTGTCATTCATGCTGTTGGCTTCAGACTCATTCTGGTCCCCCTCATGACTGCAGGTTGGCTCTCAACAGCAGTTGGGCTACAAAGATGTCTTGTTTCAAAGAAAGATAGATTGGCTCCCATTGCTGACTCTAAACTTTCCCAGAAACTTCCATAAATTGCTTTAACTCATAATTGCTCAGAATTGGGTCACTTATCATTCTTGAATTAATTAATGGCAGGGGGCAATTGAAATGCCCTTGTACCAATCAGGTATATCACTTGAGTCAGGATCAGTTTCTCAAGTTTCATTGCTGGTCCTCAATTAGAGAGAGAGGGAATAGCTACTAGGGAGTCAAACACAATGTCTAACCCAACGCTAGCTTATACCTAGGTTGTAAAAGCTTCATCTCAGTCAATTCAGTGTTGCTATGCTTTGCTGCAGTTTTGGTGGAGAGTGGGACTTTGGAAGTGGCATAACTTCGAGGAAGCATCCTGGTCTAGTTGTCACCCATCCACACCTGTTCTTGTTTTTTTTTTTTTTTTTGGTGGGATCTTAGTTCCCAGACCAGGGATTGAACCCCTGGGCCCTCAGCACTGAGAGTGCAGTGTCCTAACCACTGGACTGCCTGGGAATTCTCGTGTTTACATCTGGTTTTCAACCACAGCTGACCCGTCCTCTTTCTCTTCCTCTCGCACCACTCTCTTTTGAGTAAACAGAAATACTCTGCTGAGGCATGTTGGGAACTGTGTGGAGTATTTTCATGTCTGTCTGTCTAGTCAGGGATTTTAAACTCAACACCTGGGGACTTCCCTGGTGGCGCAGTGGTCAAGAATCCGCCCGCCAATGCAGAGGACAGGGGTTCGAGCCCTGGTCCGGGAAGATCCCACATGCCGCGGAGCAACTAAGCCCATGTGCCACATGAGCCTGCACTCTAGAGCCCGCGAGCCACAACTACTGCAGCCCGCGTGCCTAGAGCCTGTGCTCTGCAACATAAGACAAGCCACCGCAATGAGAAGCCCGTGCACCGCAACAAAGAGTAGCCCCCGCTCGCTGCAACTAGAGAAAGCCCACGCACAGCAACGAAGACCCAACTCAGCCAAAAAATAAATAAATAAGTAAATAAATTTTAAAAATAAAAAAAAAATACATAAATAAACTCAGTGCCTGTAGGGGAAAGTCAGTATAGTGGACCAGGAACAAGATAATAGGGAGTGAGGACTGGTAAACCTAGGAAGGGCATGCTCCACTCAAAGCCATTCAAAATCACATTGTTTAAAAACCCTCTGCTTGCCAAACAAGACCTGCTTGTGGGCAAGATTCATTCTGTGAGGAACTTCACTCTGGGGTTTTGCCATTTCTCTAGGTCCTACCTGGGGAAGTGGATACACACCTTCCCTGCCTTTGGATCGTCCCAGTCTCTGTTGTCTCTTTCATCCTGCTGGGCTCAGTCCTGGGCAGTAGCAGGTAGTCAGGTAACCCCTTCTTTCCAGGAAATCATTTTCACTTAAATTCTCCTCTGACTCTCTCATCTTCCTAACCCAGGGGATTTTTCCAATTTCAGGATATGGGAAGCAGAAAGCTTTCTACCATTTGCAGACTTCCAAATCAATTGTATTTACTAAGCACAAGCATTTTTTTCCACTTCTTCTGGGGCCCTAGCCCCAAACTCAAAGCAAAGAAAAGGCTCTTGGCTTCTCTTTTTCTGCTGCATTACCTCTCTTAAGATGATGGGCATAACATTCCTCAGCTGTTGCATGAAAAGGGAGAAGGATCATGGGGTGAAATAGGGGAAGATGTTATCCTGCTATAGAAGAAATATAGTGTCCAGAACAAGGGAGCATTCATCAGACTACACAGGGAATGTCTTGTATGTTGCTGTGTATCTCATCTTAGAAAGAATATATTTATCCACAAAGATCCAGGGAGGTAAAGGGATTCTGAATCACATTATATAAGTATCTAATCAATAAGACTTCTATACAACATTCAGCATCCAAGGCTGAGGATGTAACAGTCAAGATAGGCTAGTTTATGCTGTGATAGTAAATGACCTCTGCTCCACGCACAGCTGGGTTGGCCCATGCTCCGGCTGGCAGCGAGCTTTAACATCTGGGACCCGACTGGGGCAGCGGGGACCTGCGTGCAGTGGGCACGGCCAATGCACCGGGCTGGAGGGTGAGCCTTGTGCCCGGGGTGGGACACAGCCGACACCTCCAGATAAGGCCCAGAGCGGCCAGGGGACCTCCGGTGCCAGGCGAAAATATCTTCCTGTCTGCGCCTAACCTCATCGGTTATGCACAGATTGTCTTCACCATCATTTCTTTCTACTTCATGCTCTGCTGCCCCCTCACGTCCTCCTCCTTCTACCTGCTCAGTGGATTTCTGGACGCTTTTGATGGACACGCTGCTCGAGTCCTTAATCAAGGGACTGGGTTTGGGGCCATGCTGGACATGCGGGCAGACTGCTGCTCCACAATGTGTCTGCTGGTCAACCTGGCCCTACTGTACCCTCACGCCACCCTTCTCTTCCAGCTCAACGTGAGCTTGGATGTGGCCAGCCACTGGCTGCACCTCCACAGTTCTGTGGTCCGAGGCAGTGAAAGCCACAAGATGATTAACCTGTCTGGAAACCCAGTGCTTTGCATCCTCTACACCTCCAGACCTGCTCTATTTATCCTGGGTGCTGGAAATGAGCCCTTCTACTGCGTTCTCCTCCGTCATGTTCTCTGTAATCCTGGGGACCAGTCCCACCCCTGTGATCTCTCAGGGACCTTTAGTTGGCTTTGTGGGTCTTTTCCGAATGTGCCTCTGGATCACCACCTGATCACAGCCGCCTGCAACATGGCTGCCTTGGACGCAGCAGATCGTGCCAAGAAGACGTGACCCTGGAACCCCCAGTCCCTGGCTGCCCACCGGCCCTGGGAGTCTCACTGTGCCACGTGGCTCCCCTGTCGCTCCTAGGAGGTCCCAGGCTCATATCTTCCCAATGTGTCATCCAACCTGCTGGGAAGGGGGGCCAGCCTCTTTGGTGATGTCATGTTCTCCATAATCCTGGGGACCAGTCCCACCCCTGTGGTCTCCAGGGACCTATACTTCAAATCAGGAAGGATGCTCAGGAGGGCCCATCCACACGGGCAGTGCTCCTGGGACCCCAAGAGAGCTGTCTGAGGACTGGGTATTGTCACACCCACTGGCTCAGCCCTGGGATCTGGCTTGGCCTGAGACCTTAGGGAGACTTGAGTGAGGGAGGTGGGGTAGGGGCCAGGTTTCCCAAAAGGCAGGGATTCAGACCTCTGCCCCTGGCTAGAGTAATCTTGTGGGTCTAATGGTCAGGAGAGAAGGGGCTGTCGATATCCCCATTGCAATCTCCTCTGTCCTGGCTCTGAAAACCTTGATAATGAGGGTGGGAGTGTCACTGGAAAACAAAGTAACAAACAAACAAAAAAACCCTAAAAAATCTTGGTGACTTACAAAATTAAAAATGTATTTCTTGCTCCTGTTACATGCCCATCACATTTCATTCTTTTCTAGGGAGATGGAGTCAGCTTTACTCTGGAACACACACCATTTGCTGACCATTTTGGCCAAGAGGAAATGGACAAGGGGAACCCTGACTCTTAAAGCAATTGCAAATATTTGCTAAAGTAAATCACATGGCCTGAGATGGCAAAATGAGGAGGGCTATTTCATGATGGGAAATCAGAATACTTCATGGACAGTTATATAATCTACCATGTAGGAAGTCCTGTATCATCTTCTTTGGGGGTCCTCTGTGGATCATCTAAGAACCCCCAGGGATTTACATGGTTCAAAATGAGGTCTCATACAAGGCATAGTAATATTTAATATATATTAGCTGTCATTGTTATTATTATTAATATTTCATTAAGAAGGGAATATTCTATACGTTACCTACATATAAATCTTTTGAGGATGAACAGGAGAAATTTCTGTTTTTTTTTTTTTAATTGAAGTATAGTTAATTTACAATGTTGTGTTACTTTCAAGTGCACAACAAAGTGATTCAGTTATTTATGTATATATATTATTTTTCAGATTCTTTTCCATTATAGGTTGTTACAGGACATTAAGTATAGTTCTCTGTGCTATACAGTAGGTCATTGCTTATCCATTTTATATATAGTAGTGTGTATAGGTTAATCCCAAACTGCCAATTTATTTCTCCCCCCCCTTACCTCTGCTAACCCCTTTGGTAACTATAAATTTGTTTTCTATGTCTGTGAGTCTATTTCTCTGGTATTTCTTGCTTGAACAGCAAAAGACACACTGGTGTGCTAGTCTCCAGCAAGATACCGTATTACATAAGGAATGGTTGAGTAATTCAGGATATTCAGCTCGAGGAAGAGAAGCCACAGGTGGGACAATATGGCTGTCTTCAAATATATGAAAGTCTTTATGTGAAAACAAATTACACGAACAACGTGCAGGTCCTCGGGAGACAGCTCTGGTAGTGGAATAAATTTGTCTGGCAGGCTTAATTCTTCCAAGAACCTGCCTATAGTGTCATGAAGCACAATGAGCTTTGTGGTGGTTGAAGAACCAATAATAATGAAACTTACACTTATATAGTCCTTAGTATATGCCAGGCATTGGTCCAAGTCTTTACATATACTAATTTAAGCTCAAAACAATCCTATGAGATAGGAACAATTATGTTCCCATTTTTCAGGCGGAAAAAAATGGAGTACAGATTAAGGAACTGCTAAAGTCACACATCTGTAAGTGGTAGAGCCAATGATTGAACTTACCAGTCTGTCTCTAGGGTCCATCCTCTTAACCCTTGCGCTATATCGCCTTTGTATAGTTGGAATTCACTTGGAAAGCCTTAGTTAATCAGTCTTATAACTGGTCATCGAATTTGTGATCTTTGTTTCGCCTCTGGGTCTTCTGTGCAACTCTACAACAAGACACTTTAAAAAAAAAGTTGAAGTACAGTTGATATACAGTATTGTGTTTCAGGTGTACAGCAAAGTGATTCAGTTTTATATATATATATATATATTTTTTCAGATTCTTTTCCCTTATAGGTTATTACAAGATACTGAATATAGTTCCCTGTACTATACAGTAGAGTCTTTTTGTTAATCTATTTTATGTATAGTAGTGTGTATCTGTTAACACCATACTCTTAATTTATCCACCCCCCTTTCCCCTTTGGTAACCATAAGTTTGTTTTCTATGTCTGTGGGACTGTTTCTGTTTTGTAAATAAATTCATTTGTATTATCTTTTAGATTCCAGTGATGTTATATAATATTTGTCTTTCTCTGTCTGACTTACTTCAGTTAATATGATATTCTCTAGGTCCATCCATGTTGCTGCAAATGGCAAGATTTCATTCTTTTATGGTTGAGTAATATTCCATTGTATATATATACCACATCTTCTTTATCCATTCATCTGTTAATGGACACTTAAGTTGCTTCCATGTCTTGGCTACTGTAAATAATTCCACTATGAACATTGGGGTGCATGTATCTTTTCAAATTAGATTTTTTCATCTTTTTCAGGTGTATGCCCAGGAGTGGGATCACTGGATCATAGGGTAGCTCTATTTTTAGTGTTCTTTTGTTTTTTGGCCGTGCCCCACAGCTTGTGAGATCTTAGTTCCCTGACCAGGGATTGAACATGGGCCCTCAGCCATGAGAGCACAGAGTTCTAACCACTGGACCGCCAGGGAATTGCCTATTTTTAGTTTTTTAAGGAACCTCCACACTGTTCTCCATGGTGGCTGCACCAATTTACATTCCCACCAACAGTGCAAGAGTGTTCCCTTTTCTCCACACCCTCTCCAGCATTTACTGTTTGTAGGCCTTTTAAATTTTTTATTTATTTATTTATTTTTGGCTGCATTGGGTTTTTGTTTCCATGCGGGCTTTCTCTAGTTGCTGTGAGTGGGGGCTACTCTTCGTTGAGGTGCGCGGGCTTCTCATTGCAGTGGCTTCTCTTGTTGGGAGCACGGGCTCTAGGCGTGTGGGCTTCAGTAGTTGTGGCACATGGGCTTAGTTGATCTACAGCATGTGGGATCTTCCTGGACCAGGGCTGGAACCCGTGTCCGCTGCATTGGCAGGTGGATTCTTAACCACTGCACCACCAGGGAAGTCCCATGTAGACCTTTTGACGATGGCCACTCTGAACGGTGTGAGGTGATACCTCACTGCAGTTTTGATTTGCGTTTCTCTAATAATTAGCGATATTGAGCATCTTTACATGCACCTGGTGGCCATCTGTGGGTCTTCTGTGGAGAAATGTCTATTTAGGTGTTCTGCCCATTTTTTGATTGGGTTGTTTGCTGTTTTGATATTGAGTTGTATGAGCTGTTTGTATATTTTGGAAATTAGCCCCTTGTCAGTCCCATTGTTTGCAAATATTTTCTCCCAGTCCATAGGTAAGACACACCTTTTAAATTATACTCGATTTCTACGCATTTGGTTTGTCACTCAGAATGAGTGGTCTGTAGTGACATCTCACACAGTTGGGGGGGGTCTATGACGGAGGCTGGAAAGCTGGGAGCCAAGTTTGGAATTGGTGTGGTATAGAGGTGGCAGTGGTGGTGGGGGAGGGCAGCTAGAACTTGACTCTGGAGTTGGTAGGCTGGCCTGTGGTTATGGGGTGGAGAACAAAGTGAGAATGCCATTTGAGAACCAGATCCACAGTGAGCCAAGCTCCAGTCAAAGGGGTCTGGCAGCAAGATCTGGGGCACAGCAATGATTTGGCAACAGGCTGGTAGCGGGAGGCTGACAGATGAACTGGCAGGTTCAGGAAGGATGTAAGTTGAAACCTGCAGAGATTCCTGAGACAGAGGGCCTAGTGGGAAGAACCTTTCATAGGACCCTGCTGGCCTCACCTAGCTGTTTAGCAAGTAAAGCCAGGTTGAACATAAGTGACTTTCTCCTTGCTGTTAGTATTTCACTACAGAGCAGCAATCTGGTGCAAAGCCCTCCTGATAGTCTTAGGACCCTCTTCACTCAAGTACTGGGGAGACTGGGTAGTGGTTATGTTCCTTGACTCTGATGCCTGGGTTCAAATCCCAGCTCTGGCTCAGTGACGCTGGGGGATGAATTACCTAACCTCTTAGTGTCTTAGTTTCTTCATCTATAAAATAAAAAGATAACAGTGTTACTTCTGAATCAGTATAGCATAGTGATTAAAGAGCACTGTCTCTGGAGTCAGAATGCTTGATTTATGTCCTTAATCTTCCACTTATGTCTGTGGGACCTCAGGCAAGTTATCAGATGTCTTGCTCCAGGTTTAAGGTCTATAAAATGGACACAAAATAATAGGCACTTATGACATAGGGCTGTGACACGAATTAATATTATATATAACATAATAATATAATTATATTATATATATATATACACACACACACACACACACACACACACATACAGAGAGAGAGAGAGAGAAAAACACTGGCACATAGCAAATACTCAATAAATGTTAATTATAGTCTATACTGCCCATATCAGAAGACCACACTCAGAAGGCTCCCACAAGCAGGATCCCCTTTACCCAGCGAACCTGATGAGCAATACTTGGGCGGAATAAACTCAGTGTTCAGTTCCAGCCCCTTCATCCAGTTGGAGAAGGAAGAAAGTTGCACTCCCCCTGGCAGTCAAATTGAAACAGAAGAAAGACACAGTCAAAGGCATCCAAAGTAGAGACTTGCCTACCAATCCCAAGGCAACTCTAAGAAGGAGTGATTGTGGTTAGGAAGGTGGCGTGAAGAGCGAGAATGGCACAGTTTGTTCATCCCCACTACCAGATGTGCAAATCAGAGAAAAGTTCTGAGCAAGATATC